AGAAGTGGAGATATGACATATGTAGCTTAAGCACGATCAGTATTCCAAGATGTTACAAGCCAATTGAATTTAGTACAGTCTCGACCAACGAACTCCACCATTTCTCGGACGCAAGTACCAAGGGGTATGGACAGTGCACCTACCTTAGACAAATCGACAACGAAGGCAAGGTACATTGCTCTTTCGTAATGGGAAAGTCTCGTGTCACACCCCTAAAGCCAATTACAGTACCTCGACTAGAACTTACAGCAGCGTTAGTGTCCGCAAAGATAAGCACAACAGTGAGAAGAGAATTACGAAGTGTTCCCATTACATCAGAAACGTTCTGGACAGACAGTCAAGTCGTGCTGGGATATATCTCCAACGATGTCCGTCGTTTCCACATATTCGTTGCCAATCGTGTCCAAGAAATAAGAAACGTTAGCAATCCACAACAATGGAGGTACATTCCCACCAAGGATAACCCAGCAGACATTGCTTCAAGAGGACTGGTGGGTCAAGATCTATCTACGAGCGACTGGTTAACTGGTCCCAAATTCTTATGGAACACGAGTATTCCACCTCCACAAATCATTGATAGAACAACATCTCCAGACGATCCTGAAGTTAAGAAGTCGAAATGCATGTCGACAAAGAGCTCCGAAATACCGGGAAGGTCCACACTTGAGGATCTTGAAAGAATATCAGAATGGACCAAAGCAAAAAGAGTAATTGCTCTATCCTTAGATTTAAGAAGAAACTGCTACAACGCTCACCGATCGCGRATGACAAACAGCTCACAGTCGAGGAACTTGTTACAGCAGAAACTCGAATACTGAAATTGGTTCAGCAAGCCGCCTTCCCTCACGGATCCTCGCTGAAGAGAACCAACCCTCTTAAACACTCCAGATTGCTTACCTCTTACGCCAAATCATCTACTGACTTGGAAGACCTCCAGGCGAGTTTCAACGGTCAGATCTCTATGCTACTAAGAGATGGAGACGCGTGTAGTTTTTAGCTAACGAGTTCTGGCGTCAGTGGAAAAAAAGAGTACATGCAGACCCTACAAGAACGCACAAAATGGAACATCCCTAGACGAAACCTGAAGGTCGGTGATATAGCTATACTCAAGGCTGACGATGCCCCACGAAACCTATGGAAGATGGTCAGGGTCTGTAACGTAATTACCGACGACGACGGTCTTGTGAGAAAAGAAGAAACTATGGAGAGCCACGGAGAGCCATATTTAAATGACATTAATTTGAATTAATAAATTTCCTTAGATAAATTTAGGAGAGCCATGTAGCTCCAACACCTTCGCCACTTATCGTTTGTTGTTTCTAGACGTTTAATTGTTTACAAGTCATTCGTGCGTAGTCCATTGTTTTTATTCGGTTATATATTTCTACTTATGTAAATTTCGTTATTACCRCGTTTATCGTCATCGCTGACCCTTAGGACCATCACTATGGTAAGAACTTTGTAATCGTTTTGCAATCGCTTTCGTTTTCTATCGTATTTTGTAATTTATCATATACTCTATTGTAATTTCTCGTTTTATTTCTACATTGTAAGATTTACGTCATCATGTATGTCAGTAAACAAAATCTGAGGGTTAGCCGTAACAGTGACAAAACTATCGAGCAGCTGTTTATGAATCCAGGAGTGCAGATTGCACAGCAGTTTAATGGGTATTTGGAGATATAAAATATAAAATCTCAAAATAGGTTAGAGGTCCTGCAGGGAAAACAATATAGCATGTGCATTTTTTTCATTAATGAACACATGCTTAATATGGTCAGGTAATGAGCAATATTTTTTACGTAGCTCCTCCAACTATTCAAAACTACTTTCAATTATAATCATCATATACTCCTATAATACACTGTGAGATATAGATGGATCGAAAGATCTCTCTTATTTGTACATGGATATCAACATGATATCAAATTTCATTTGTCTTTTTTAAATATTGCCTTGTGAAATTTGAATTATACACAATCTTTTCAAGATATATGTCACGAACGTTTTCGCGTTTTGCTCGTATCGTACGGGATTCCTGTTTTTCAGTTGTAATACCGCTGGCCGTCGSCCGCCGTGTCACTTCGACATGTGCTCGGCGTGGTTGACGGCCCGGTAAGTTTAGATTACTTAATAACCAATTTATACCTTGTAATTTCGATATTTTACTCTGCTCGTTAGTCTCCATTGTAAGAGTCTGTATGTTTAACCTTAGTAAATGTAACCGACGGCAAAACTACGATTAAACCACGTATTATTTGGTCGAAGTCCTTGATTCATGTTGATTGCGTAATCAAGTCGAAACGATGAGAACAATATAAAATAAAAATATATATATTGAAAAATATATTGATAGTGCTATTAAAAATTTAACAATACAAATGAAACGTAGTGATACTGCTGATCATAACATGAATTAATGTTTTTAGCCAATTCAGTAAGAGCATTTATAATGGCCAAGTTCATTGCCTGTTGTTGTTGTTACTGCTGCTGCTGCTGCTGTTGCATCTGTTGGAAAATCATTGTTTGGAACTTCTGACTTGAGGTCCATTTCCCTCTCCCTCATGACGACCTGCTGCTCAAGCTCTTTATTTTTTCGTTCCATGTTTTTTTTTCCAATATTTCTGTAATACTTGCCTGGCTATATCTTCTCTTCTTTGATGATGAACAGAACGCTCTTTATTTTCATCCTCTGCAACTGCATTTCTCTTTTTGGTCTCACTTAATATTTCTGCTGCTCTCTTTCTCATTTCTTCTGCCTGAGCCTTTTCTTTTGTTTCCTTGTCATTCCTCTCTTCTTCGTAATCACTTCTCAGATCGTTGATGTCAGTTAAAGCTTTGTAGACCTCATCACATTCAGCATCAATGCCACTAGCACCCCTTTCTTCTGCCTCTGTTTGCTTGTACTCCAGATAAAGCTTGTCAAATCTCTCTCACGGATCGCTTGGTCACTCTCATCTCAAACTGGTTAAGGTTATTTGAGATTCTTTCCCACTGCTGCCCTCTCTCCTTTGTCCCCGCCTTGAACTTGTGTGGTACTTCGACTAGAACCTCCCTCATCAATAAAACATCGTGTTGTTTTTTGCAAGTAAAATCTTTTTTAGCCATAACTGTAAAAGGATGGTTTGTTATTTGAAAAATGAGATCAATTTATATAACATCATCAATTGAAAAATCCTTTTATACCTCTATACCCTACGACATATCAAGACAACCCATCTGAGATAGGAACCCTTCTAAAAATTTCTTTCTTTTAGTCTTTGATCTTTTTGGGTAAATATTAGGTGTACGACTTGTTTATCATACATGATTAGCTACAAGCGATTCAGCAATTTAGTCGAATTAAGTATTAATTTAATCTCAAAATATTTCAAGGCAACAACACAACTTCAGTGAACAATCTGTTAAAAATTACTATAATCAAACAAATATTCATTCAGGTTTTTTGTTATTTTCAAACAAAATGATTAAATAATAAGTAATTTTGTTCTTTTTGGTCTTTTTTCACGCAAAATACCTTCGCGGTGCGGCATAAGGCAACAATTAAGAGGAAAAAAACATATCGATATATAGCACAACCTGCCGTGAATAATCTGTTAAGAATCAATATTAAACAAATATTCATTCAGGATTTYTTTTATTTTCAAACGATCGCTTACGTRGGCTTCCTGTGACAATGGTGTTTCATTTTCGCAAGATAGTCTTTGTTTGTAATAAGTCAAGACAGAATTAAGTTAATTTGTTATCAATTTATTATATCATAATTTTTTACCGAACTGAACTCTAAATAAATTCTTTGGATACCAGTTTTTTGGATCTCAGTTTTCCAAAATAACTTGCTCGACTTAACGCTCAAGAGCGTCTATATTATTCAAAATATCTGATAGGTCATATAGGTCACATAATAGAAACGGTACAGTCTTGGCAGTATAACTTTGAATAATATTTTGATCATTTGAATCATGTATCTGTGTCTTGTGTTTCTGTTCTTTTTTCATTTGGTGTTGTTCATTAATTTGTAAATCTGGTGTTCTGTGCCATCATAAAGGTGTACCTTAGCCTTCTAATTTTGGATTTGTCTAAGTTTTTCAAGTTAAACAATCATCAAAACAAACAATAGAGAATTAAAATGCTTCATACACAATATAGATTTTGTATACAGAGTTCAGTAAAGCTCACACGTGCAGTTTTCCGAAATTCAAACACATCGTTAGTTTAGAAAATGGTATCAATATTTTTCAGATGAGGTTTGATATGCTTTATTCCATCAAATGATTGTTTTCTGTCAAAGTATGAACCTTAAATATCCATGTGATTTCTTATTTTTGAAGATATTGTGTTTGACATCGAACACTTGATGCGCTACCAATTTGAAGCGTAATATTCACCACCACCACCAAAAGAAAGTTGCATTTTTAGACGTAATAATAAATAATTTTGTCCCGCATTTTCACGCACGTTTCCTACGCGCGACATAAGGAAACAATTAAGAGAAAAAAATACATCAATTTATGCTAAAATGTCATTTTTTTCGATAAGGAACTCCACTTATGTAGATTAAACACATTTGCATTTGGTTTTATAGAATTTCAAGTGAAAAAAAAAGAAGAAGATTAGTGTTGAATGATAGACGCCATTTATTATGCTTGTGGGCTCAGTTTTGGTCACCGGATCAATGCATTTATTTAGAAGCGCGAAGAAAAACCAGTTTGACTGAGGAAAAACCGGTCTTGACAAGCCCCAACTCTTGGGCTATCGGCAGATCAAAGAAATTACAAGGTTTCGGCAGAGTGTTATTTTCCTTAGCGAATTATCAAAATTATCAAATGCAATTGTTTTCATAGAAGCATTTGTTTGCCTATTTTTTATTTATATTTTAAAAGCTGTGCATTAGAAGCTGTSCATTATGGGAATATAAAATATTTACTGGAAATTTATATCACACAAAGAAAAGAAACCAACTTTACCAAAAAAATATAGAGAACAGAATAAGAAAAGCCATTATTGAATGGCCACCCGTTTACTCGAAAGTCTACGAATGTACTATTGATGTAAAATTACGGGCGTTTCAATAAATTGTAAATAATTGTTTGCACTTAAATGAAAAGCTCCATCTGTTTAATGTAATAGAATCATCGAAACGCACATTCTGCTCAGAACAAAATGAAACATTAACACACTTCTTTGTTGAGTGTAGGATAACAAAACAATTTTACTATGAAGCGCAAAATTGGTTGAGGGATGCTAATATTAGTCTGTCAAAGTTAAATATTGAAAACTTAAAAGTTCAGAAGAAAGTATCCCTCGATATTTCCTATTAGGTTTGGGGAAATGTACCCTGTATATATCTAGGGGGAAACCAGTGTTGAATGATTATACATCAACAGTAAAACTGTATGAAAAAATAGAATATATAACTGCAAAAAAGAAATTAAGGTTGAGTTCGCATTTAAAAAAGTATGAAAACATACAAAGAATAATGTATTTTGAATATTGTATTTTGGCCAAACACAGGATCCACGTTACTATTCGGCATCAACATCCTACATCAAGTGAAAACAAAAAAGTCATTGCGAATTACCTTAAAGAAATTGGCTGTAAGATAAATATTCTTCATCAATGGACACGTGCTSAGCACAATACAAGAGTCGCCATTGTGTCGTACTCCAATTCTGACTTTGAATTCACAACAATACTTAACTATTTTGAGGGCCACAGGACTGGGCAGATGCCAGTCTCAAATACAAATGCGATATGGCCGTAATCAAACGTCAAAGACGCCAAAGATTTCTACGATTTTGCTTAAAAGGAATTTTGAGAGCCGGCTTCAAGGCATTACCAGTCACTAAACGTCAAACTAAAGCGTAGGATTTACTTGTACGTCAAGCCTATAGTCGAGACAGGCCAAGCTGCCTTTTTAAAAAAATGGAAGGCAATAGGTCTATACACTCTATTGTCAGTGGCAACAAAAAATGCAATTTGAAAACACGACTGATACCATGCTACTGTGATCAATGTTTGGAACAAGAGTATACGTCTTGTACAAAACGGGTATATGTACCACAGTGGTCAGAAATCCAGATAGTGACCAGAGTCACAAGATCAAGATTCGTTGAAAAGAAAGTTCAAATCGCCGATCTAGTGAGTCAGGACTCTATTGTAGCAATTGCCGCCATCAACATAGACGGAGACTATCATCTTAGGATTACTTAACTTTTTTTTTTTTTGGATAGTGCGAAATGTGCGAGATTCTGAAGGTTCACYGGGAAAGTTGCGTCTGTGCTCCTCAATTCACACTTAAAAATAACAAATTTTGAGCTTTGGCCGTTAATTCTAAATACATAACACAAAGTACATATATTTGATTAAAGGCACCTGACCCCAGGAAGGATTGGTCGGTGGGAAAGGTGTAACCCCATACTGCAGTTTGGGACTTCGTAAATTGTGTCCTCATGCGCTGCTGGTTTCTTGACAGTTTTTAAAAGGCACCTGCAGCTGGAAAAGACCCATTTTCTATTTTCTCCATAATCATGCATGCCAATTCCCAACATCTACCTGATAGCTCAGATACCTTGTAATAACTGGTTTTCTTTGATGGATAGATGCAGGATTAGTCTGTTCGTCAAACATTAAAACCCGGAAATAAATGTTACTAAAGCATATTTGGTTACAAAATAACATAATKTTTAGTAGAATAACATATCGAAAATCCGCTAAAATCTGCTTTCGGGAAAWAAAAKATATTTTTGTTTKAATTGTTTGCATTTTTCGGTGTGTTTTCAATAAACAATGCCGAGAATTAATGATGTACACCAAGGTACTTTTAGCAAATTGAAGGTCTTAAGAAACGACATAACGCTTAAAAGTTCTATTTAGCAAAATACATGGTTTCCAGGCTATTTATCTATTTATAAAGGCAAAATTACTCTAATTATTGTAATCGAAAAGATGTCTGTATGGTAGTTCAATTTATTGTTTCGCGATTTTTATTCTGATAGCTTTGAAAAATTACCTACGTGTTACATTACAATTCAACCACCTGAACCCAAACCGCAAAGGTTGACATCCTGAAGTTCGTTCTTTTCAGAGGTCCGGTTATTATGTATAAAAAAACAGATTTCAAAGCTTGTGTGCGTTGCATTTGATACTTAGTAGCCACAATGGACAATTTTAGTCTGAAAGTTATATCCTCAGCATTTTTGTAGCTTTCAGCAGTCTCCACAGGCTGATACACATTTGAGTTTATGTTTGTGAAAAAATTCAGCTGTTTCTTCCGCATATGTTCTTCTTGGTTCTCAACACCTCTCCAAGGTGCTGCAGCCAAGTCTGTAGGTGGCTATCATTGCCTTTCGAACCCCATCGAGTTGCCTCCGATGTTCTCGCACTTTCCACAGTGTCAAGCCTGGTTGTGATATGTTGACCTCTGAATGGAAATGAATCTCGGCCATGTCTTGCCTCCAGTCGTACATCAGAAGAACTAGAATATCTGTATCATCATCTACAACCGTGGTTTCTCTCCCTTCTCTTGCAAATTGAAGTGTGCGCTTTCTGCTATCATTGTGTCACATGTCCATCATCTTCCAAGATTTTACTCAGCAATGCAATAAACTGCCTCTTGCTGAAAGAGGAACGACTGTTGGTCACTTATTGGGCCTTGGTATACTTGCAAAGCCGTATATCAGTGAATGTTTTAACCCCTTCTTTGCTGATGCTCATGGTCCTTAATTGAGTCCATACCCATCAAATACAACACATAATCACCATATCTTCGTACATATTAGTTGATGTATTGAATAATGATCTTTTTATAATTCGCTTTCTTCTGCCACTTCAATCGATGTAAAAGGAACCTACCATCAAAAACATACATGGCGTCAGGGTTTTGCATTGATAGTCCGGTGGCTTAAGGTCAAATTTTGGCGTGATCGTTACAGAGTGGMAGAAAGCATCAAATTTGGCACAGATGTTGACTTCAATGTAACTAACGATTTCAGAAGGGGTGCCACGAGATCCAAGCTCAGGGTGGTGCAGTACCGCATCAAAAGGGGAGGGGAGGGGTCAAATCAGTCCAAAAATTCAAATAATGGCTACAATTAAACCAAAAAGCACAAAACTTTGTATTATTAATTGTGATTAGATCCGAGTTC